AGAAGAGGGGACACATGTTGATGTAGAAGAGACATGGAGAAGAGGGGACACATGTTGATGTAGAAGAGACATGAAGAAGAGGGGACACATGTTGATGTAGAAGAGACATGGAGAAGAGGGGACACATGTTGATGTAGAAGAGACATGGAGAAGAGGGGACACATGTTGATGTAGAAGAGACATGGAGAAGAGGGGACACATGTTGATGTAGAGCAGACATGAAGAAGAGGGGACACATGTTGATGTAGGAGAGACATGAAGAAGAGGGGACACATGTTGATGTAGAAGAGACATGGAGAAGAGGGGACACATGTTGATGTAGGAGAGACATGGAGAAGAGGGGACACATGTTGATGTAGGAGAGACATGGAGAAGAGGGGACACATGTTGATGTAGGAGAGACATGAAGAAGTGGATTGAGGACAATAGTTGACCTTTTAAATCACTGCGTCACTCGTAGTAAGAGTCACATTCTAGTATTTCTGTGATGACAGGAAAGAGGATCTTCTGCTGAATAAAGCTGGTTTCGGTTTCAGCGTCCTCCTCTCAGCGTCCTCCTCTCATTGTGACTCCGGCAGCCTTTAGATATGGGTGTTGGCTAAACAGGGCATTGTAAGTAAATATACAGTAGAGCATGTGATTCGAAAATAAAAAATTACACAATAGAACAAGTGAGGATCACTGAAGAGGAAAGAGGACCTGCGTGTGTTTCTCAGGGGGTGTTGCTATAAAGAAGTTCCTGAAAAGGGTAAAATAAATCCATTTTGAAGATTAAGTTACCAAAAAACTGCACCCTTAGAACAACTAAGTAATGTACATGTTGTGCTTGCCTAACTTAACAGCCAATACAGTATAAGACACAGACGTTTCTTTGATTTAATGGTCAATAAAAAAGTACCTTATTTGAGTGAAATATGCGCTCAACCAATCCATTTGGAAAATTAAGTTAAATTAACTGCACTTAGTTTAAATGAACATGAAGCCCACTTCCAAAATAATCTACATAAAGCTCTTTGTTTCCTGACAATGTGTGATTTAAAATACTGCTCTGGTCACCCATGGATACATTCTTCAAAGAACAACCAAGTAAATATTGAGCGTACCGTACCTTTAAGGCGAATGTAGGGCACAAAAGTTATTTTATTTATTATTCTTTTATAGCTTTGGTGTCCCAGAAGCATGCAAACAAAAATAAAAAGGTAACATTGTGATTTAAATAGGTTTGAATGGATTAATGATGGGCTGATTCAACTACAGAGGGGACATGGGCTGTAAGCTGGTTCAGCATGAAGTCAGAAACTAGTCATTTTTGTGTTTATTTTGTACAGAATTAAAATAAACAATTTATTAGCAAACACATTTTTACAACCTGGGGTCAAAGGGATTTATCAACTTTCCAAATGAACACAATGCTCCTTTTTAATGCCCACTATCCACATAAAGCTCTTTGCCCTCTGATAATGATTAAAGAAAACATCTAACCAAATAGAAACATTGCATCATTGGTACTTCTGTGTTTGAACTCAGTTTCTTTTACTGTCTGAGAGCTGTGGGAACAACAACAACAACAACAACATGCCTATCATTCCTCTCCTTGCAGCTGACCTGATTTGAAGTCCTAGCTGTTCCCATTCAGACGTCATGAGATTCTTTGGACTCACATGCTTCAGATGTTTGTTCACGTTGCCTGCAGGTCACAGCCTTGGGACCGTTAGGGGGACTTTACTGTGGGGTCTGAGCTTTGAGAAGAAACAGACTCAATGCATCATTTAAACATTTCACAGGCTCCTTAAAAGACCGTGCAATCGAAGTGATTTTAAAGTAATATACACAGGTCTTTAGACCGATATAACTGTTGTGTCACATGGTCAGAATATCTTCCTGTTGGTGTCCAGACGGCTCCACGGCCTCTAAATGAACAATAAAAGCACAAAGTAAACACATTGAGAGGTCAGAGCCTGCAGACCTGGGTCAGACGGTGTTTACGAGTCAGTCAGCAGCTGATGCTGTCTGCACGAGTCACTGCAGTGGACTCTGACACAGCAGAAAACACTAACAGACAGACTGAGGCTTGTATTCATGTCGGTTCGTGGCTTTGAAGACAGAATAAGTAAAGACTTCAGTTTCCTTATAAGAAGGGTTGGTTGACAGCAAGACAAAGACGTGAAGATGTTCTAAATATAACGTATCAATGAGCTGATATGGATGTTTTACTCCCAGGCTTCAAACTGCATCTATAACTGCAGGTTATACACTGACTATGGTAAATTTACTGAGACAAGTGCACGGATAAAAATACAAAAAAATGTCTATAAGCCTATTAGAAGCTTTGATTATCTGTCCACCAAAGTGACAATGCATTAGCTATTAAAATGTCTTCATTTAGATCAGGGGTGTCAAACTCAAGGCCCGGGGGCCAAATCCGGCCCGCGGCTTCATTTTCTGTGGCCCCATAAGAGCTTGCAAAGAATATAATGTTATTATATGGTTACATGCCGCTTTACAGAATCACTTTGCCCATAAACTACATGTCCCACAATGCATCTCAAATTAGACTTTTTTCTCAGAATTCGATTTTTTTCCTCCAAAATGTCACTTTTTAAAAATATATATTTTAATTTGGCTTTTTAAATCATTTTGTGACATGACTATCTGAGTTTAGGTGCTACATAGTTTAAGTTTCTCCTTTCTTATAAAGTACCTGTAGTATTTTGGACCCTGTTGTATTTTGACTTTCTATTTTAATTATCCAGAATATTGTATATTGTCTTGTTTATATTCTATAATAAAAAAAAAAAAGTTAATTCTCTTTTCCACTTTTTATGTGGACATCAAGAGCTTGCAAAGAATAAAATAAGTTTATTATACGATTACATGCCGCTTTACAGAAGCACGTTGCCCATAAACTACATGTCCCACAATGCATCTCTTTTTGTGACATGCACAATGAAGAGACTTGCAATTATTTGCCCTAGACTTCTGCTTTCAGACGTAGTTAATTATGAAGTTATTACCCTATCTGATAATAATCCAATTCAGGGGCAATAATGTAATATAATACATTATTTTATATATATTATATATTTATATATGTATTTTTATATTGTAAAGTCTTAAAGTTACAACCGGCCCTTTGAGTGCAACCATAATGCTGATGTGGCCCGCGATGAAATTGAGTTTGACCCCCTTGATTTAGACACCAGACCTAAAAGTAGGTTTCTTCTTTTATCTCCTGATTCTTAACTTCAAGCTCAACTTATTCACTGATGAGTCTAAAGAAGTGGAAAAGTGCTGAAAACACGAACAGACTGAGGCTTGTATTCATGTCGTTTCGTGGCTTTAAAGACAGCATAAGTAAAGGCTTCAGTTCTCTTATAACAAGGGTTGGTTGACAGCGAGATAAAGACGTGAACATATTCTAAATATAGCGTATTAATGAGCTGATATGGATGTTTTACTCCCAGGCTTCAAACTGCATCTATAACTGCAGGCTGTTCAAGGTTCAAGGCTCTTTATTCTGTCATACAAACACAGTGTAGTTATGCCAATGAAAATCTTAGGTCAGACTGACTATGGAATAAATTAAATGCACGCATAAAAATACCAAAAACTGATATTTCTATAGGCCTATTAGAGGCTTTGATTCTCTGTCCACCAAAGTGACAATGCATTATTTAAATGTTTTCATTTAGACACCAGACATATAACAAAACACAGTAGGCTTCTTATTTCATTTCCTGATTTGTCTCAGAGCTCAACTTATTCACTGATCTAAAGAGTCTGTAATCTGTTGAATCCAAAGAAGAGTAAACTGTCTAACAGCAAGGTAAATACGTGAACATATTCTAAATATAACTAACGTACAATTTGACTTTGTTTTGTAAAAACCAGTGATTAAATCAGTCAAACGGTGCAAAAGTCATAACGTGTTAATATTGACATTTTCTAGTGTGCACTGTTTGGATAAAACTCACATAAATGAAATCTTCGGTCATCATTGTGTATCCCATGTTGTTTGGTGGCTTTAATGAACTATAAGCTGTATTTCTCCCTGGGGTGTCTTTGCTGTAGGTCAGGGGTGCAAACTCAAGGCTCGGGGGCCAAATCCGGCCCGCGGCTTTCATTTTCTGTGGTCCCATAAGAGCTTGCAAAGAATATAATATGTTTATTATACGGTTACATGCCGCTTTAGAGAAGTGTGTTGCCCATAAACTACATGTCCCACAATGCATCTCAAATTTGACTCTTTTCTCAGAATTCGATTTTTTTCCTCCAAAATTTCACTTTTTAAATTTTTATTTGGCTTTTCTTTTTAAATCATTTTGTGACATGACTATCTGAGTTTAGGTGCTACAAAGTTTGAGTNACGATTACATGCCGATTTACAGAAGCACGTTGCCCATAAACTACATGTCCCACAATGCATCCCTCATTTGACTTTTTTCTCAGAATTTGACTTTTTTTTTCAAAATGTAACTTTTTTTTTGACTTTTTTATGTGGCTTTTCTTTTTAAATCATTTTTTGACATTCTCAATGAAGAGACTTGCAATTATTTCCCCTAGACTTCTGCTTTCAGACGTAGTTAATTATGAAGCTATTACCCTATCCGATAATAATCCAATGCAGAGAAAATATTGTAAAAAAATACATTATTTTATATTTATTATGTATATGTATCTATGTATATTTATATAGCCTTAAAGTTACCACCGGCCCTTTGAGTGCAACCATAATTCTAATGTGGCCCGCGATGAAATTGAGTTTGACACCCCTGATCTAAACTGTGAGCTGTGGAGGCATCTGTTTATTTACTAATGAGGCTCACCACACACCCTGACACAAGTTTTCACACTTATTTATCCCGGTTTTCAAATTAGAGCCTACCTACAGTAGCCATCTCTACCTAATAATGTGACGAGGTGTAGCATATCAAACGTTTCCATGCTACACCTAAAACTCAACGGCATGTACTATTGGGTCTCCACCTTGAGAAGAGCATAATGTAACTTCGCATTCATCTTGAATCATTTCAGGAACTCCTATCAGTATCAAGTTGCTTTTATCAAAAGTCGTTTAACTTCAAGGATGTTTCACTGATAGACTTGATGCAGGAAGATGAGCTTTAAAACCGCAGTGGCACTAAGTACAACAGATTTACTTCGGCATCACTTGCTATCATCGCCTGCGAGTTTATTAAGCCAATTATGCTCTTTATTAGTCTTCTTCACAGAGGTTTGTACAGGGGAAAGTGCCTCTGGAATATGTTTTCCTCTTAATGAGGGGATGGACAGTGTTTCTTTTTGTCTAATATCATTGATTTTATCCTCCATATTGTCATCAATCGTTTTGTCGTTAGAAGCATCTGGTAATGAGCAGATCAATGTACAGGAAATATAAAAGAACGAAGTGGCAGATGGGCATCTCTGACACGATAGTCTTAATTAAAGTGTTCCACAGCGGCCAGCAGAAGAAGAACATTAATGACACTTCTCTTTAAGTGCATGCATTTCTTGATTGTCACCTTTTTCTCAGATGTCGAGTATGTGCAACATCAGCCTCAGAGGAGCTTTACTGTTCAGAAATACACCTGATCATCCCTCTCCTCTCTTTATTTTGTTCTGCATTCCATTTCTGCACACTGCCGTTAGTTTAATGGGCCGGGCTCGGTGCCGGTGAATACATCAGAGGCGTTATAACATGCACGCCTCAGGGGCCTGCGCTATGAGTTTAAAGGAGAACATTTTCAACATTGCTTGCCATTCATAATCTGGAACCCTGATCCCCACTTGCAGCTACCCTTCTCCTCTCCTGATTCGATTGTATTACAGATTTAAACAGGAAGCTTTAAATGGGGATCAGCATAATAACCTGCTGCAGAGGCAGGAGGAGATCTTTCTTTTAGGAGAAACCTCCGGCTAATCCTCAACATGAATTGACTCGTCAAGAACAGACCACACATAACTAAGAACCTGTACAAGTAATGTTTTATATATACACCTTTTCTTTTGAATTGTGAACTGTACAACATCTTACTTAGAAAAGGGATGCACCAATCATAATTGTTCCCTTCCCTCGAGTGTGTTCTATAGGTTTGTATGCATGTAAATGATCTGCAAAGGCTAAAATCCCAAAGCTTCTCTCCCACACACTCCCTCGCTGCCTGAAAAGCCTCCATTGAATTCCTTTGTTTACTTCCAGAACATAGTAACATGTAAGCGGTTGAACAATCACAACAGCCGGCAAGCTAACCAATCAGAGCAGACTGGGAAAATAAAGATTCTTTTGAACAATAAAGCATGGAGACACACTACTATTTTAAAACAGAGAATTAGCATAATGTGTCCTGTTTAAATAATTTGAACAGCTATTGAGTCAGTATGGACCCAATATCAGTATCTGTGCATCCCTGACTCCTAAATACATTTATTTTAAAACATAGGCAAAGATTCACCTCCTAATCAAAGCACATCTCGTCGTTTCACTGTTTCTGAATAATTCTATGTTGCAGCTGTTTACAGTACCTTCTGGCTGATGAGGTTGACCCAGGGGGAGGTGCAGTTGCTGAAGTCGGGCCCCTGGGGTTCCCAGTATCCCTCTGGACCCACGCACATGTAGGAGGCCACGCCTGGAGACAGAACAATGAAATCACATTTATTATATCAGAAGAGAAAAACCCATCTGTAGGACACTGTGTTCTGTAACGTGTGTGCTCATAACTCTAAAACTACGCGGCAACCATTTTTGATATGGATGAATACTTATGTATTTGATTTTATTAACGCAAGTTTGCCTCTTCATTTAATATGGAAATAGTTTTGTATTCTTTTTATCTGCACTTTCCCTTTGCTGTAACACTTTAAATGTCCCCACTGTCGGACGAGGAAAAGGTTTCTGATTGTGTGTGTGTGTGTGTGTGTGTGTGTGTGTGTGTGTGTGTGTGTTTCTGGAAGACCTCTCGTCTTGCCCACATTTTCTCATTTCTCTTACTTTTCCCATTACAGAGTGATGAACTACACAATGCTCTCAGTCGGACCAACGAAAGCCCAATCCTCCCGTATGGCAAGCACTTTTTCTTATTTTCTAAATAAAACTGCGACATCCCAAAGAAACACAATTCTTAAGTGATTAAATTAAACGATGCAGCAGAATGTAATTGGGCGGTTTTATCTTGCAGTGACTGAAATTAAGTTTGCTCCACTCGAGGCCAGCGGAGTTCGCCCAGACGGCGTCTGTATGCAGTCATTAAAAATCACACGGTGTCTGTGTGTGACACTTCAACTCCTGCATGGAAAATACAGCAACATGGGTGCCAATTAAGTGTGGCGAAGCTGAATTCACTGGGGAAAGGTCAATTAAGCAGGCTGGGTAAATTGTGTCTGCAGAAAGTATTGAGATTTAGGGAGTGTCACTCTTACAATGTTGACTCTTTTCCACACTTTTGTACTAAAACAGCTCCAGATATAGAACAATTCAACGATGTAACCATCAATTCAGCCTTACAAATCACAGTTGAAGAAGAAGTCAGATTTTTCACTTAGAGACTTTACTATGATTTTCTTTCCCAGTAGTGTGTTTGATAGGTTTCAGTGCGCGTACATGGTCTGCAAACACACATTTTACTGAAACGGTACTTTAAATAACGCATTTCACTATATTCCAGCACTTTCAATCATGACAATACATAAAATATGGTTATATCAAGATATAACAGTAACAAAACAACGATGACAGACTATTGCAATATGTGCAATATACACTCTTCTGCATTTGCACTACTGTCATTACTGACTACTATTTCACTTTAGCTCTAGTGCAATAATCTCTGTTATGTGCAAAATACACATTACATATTATTTCCTACTATGTCAACACCTTTATATGTTTAAAAGGCAAGTCTTTTTAACCATGTCTGCGTACTTATTTCTCCTTACTTTTATTCAATTGTTCTTTACTTTTAATTAAGTAAGCCTACTCTTTGTATTTAGCCTTGTATTTTCACTGTAACCCTTGCTGTTCATTTTCTACAGTTGGACAAATAAAGGATTTCTGTATTTGCAAACAGAGAGTGTCTTTGACCTGATCTTCCCTGTACCTCAAATAACCTGCGTCTCTATTTTCAGAGCAAGCCTCACCAGTTACACGCTGACATTACATCGCCCTTGCTGGCTCTGTTGGCGGGTGAGACGGGCGGCATTAGCAGATATACATTTTGATTGACACATCATTTCCTTCCCCAGTCCACCTTGGACAGCCTTATATTTGATGGGTTTATAAGATAAGGGACAGCGCATTTCCTCCTATATTGAGAGGCAGGATGAGGAGACAGAGTGACAGCGAGCGGAGAAGTGAAGGTAAGACGGGAAAAGGAGCTCGAGGAACTTTCAAAGAGCGTCGGAGGAAGCTCGGAGTCGTGTCTCTGCTCGTCTGAAGAGCAGCGGCTTTGAAGAGCGAGACGAGGAAGGGGGGGGGTGTTCCTCTTATCTTTCCATATGACGGCTGTTAGTGAGGTCTCGACGGGCGCGGGTGTCGCCCATTAATGAAGCCTCTACGTACGCGCGTGTGTGTGTCTGTCGGTGTGTGCAAAGATTGATGGTTTTCAGGCTTCGAGACATATTTCAACCCTATAAAGTCACTCCCAAATCCATAATAAAAATCTGAATAAGGAGAAATTGCAGAAGATAAAATATAAATAAATAGGATATCTGATTTGCATCACCTCTTCTTTTTGTTTAATTTGTTTCTAAGTTATATTTTAGTTCAATTTAAACTTAATTTCTCAATCATCAACCATTGTAGCATCTTTACTCAAAAAAAGTCTCATTAAAATACGAGCTGCTTGATCAGCACTTAGAGGTAAAGCTTTTCCATGTAAAGGGGCCAACATTGATTTAAGCAATCAAGTGTATGATTGAGATTCTATTACACAAACTATCATTTTAATCAACAATATCGTAAAATAATTTCATAATGTGGGCTAATTTGCTCCCAAACCTACGCTTTCTGCTTGAGTTAATCTCCGTCAGAAAGTAGTTCCTAGAAAGTAGTTCCCATGGTAACGATTGACAGCCCAGGTAGTTGACGCCAATGTACTCTTTTCGTTGCAACTTTTTTCCAACGCACTCAACTCGTCAGTTGAAACAGCCGCAAATCTTTCGTTGGTTTTGTGGTCTGTGTCCATGTCCAACCATTCATCAATACTGAGGCCCCCCCAACAAATCAAAATTAACTTTAAAATCTGACATTTTGTAGCTACCGATTTCCAACGAGAGACAATGTATAACAGTGTAACGGCTGTGTGTCGCTAAACGTCGCTATGGAAACCACACGATGTAGGCTCATGGAAGTAGTTTCGGTAGGCTAGTGGCGTGTGTAGGCCACTGGGTACTTTGTGATTAGGCACGTTCTATTTGATCGTTGTTTGATCGTGGAATCAAACACGCCTATTGACCAATCAGAGAGCTTGCTCAAACCTATGTGTTATAGAATTTATCTTAATGCACACTTCCCTTTCTTTGTGATATTAAGACAAAGCAGAGGCCTGACAAACAAAGCCCTTTCAACTAGCCCGACACAAAGGATAGACGGGAAAATGTGTCTGAGGCGTGCTAGCTTCCATACAGATGCAATGCTTAGCTATCTTTAGCCTAGCTGTGAGTGAGTCAGGAATGGAGAGTGAGGACAGTTAGTGATGCGAGGAGCTGCAGGGAGTGTAAACACAAAGAAACACACAGCGGCGAGCAACACGCAGCCTGAAGAGCCTGCAGACCGTCTGCTAACGAGAGTATCGACATCCTCTCTCATCGAAGGAATAAAGAAACAACATCTATAATTCAGCAGCAGATTTCATCTTTAAACACAGCAGGGTTTGAGCTTCTGGGACATTAATCAGGTTGAACTGAATGTTGCTGTGAGGAATGCTATTCTGAACATTATATTTCATACTCTATTGATCCACAAACTGTAGAGTGGCCCAAATACAAACAAATGACACATAATAATAAAAACAAATGTTTGTAGTTTGAAAGCAATTCCTTAGTTTCGGGAAAACAGTGATAGCTCTTCAACGACAGATACAGGTATAACTACTTGCATCTACAATATCCATCCATTTGGATCACACAGTTCCGACATAAACCAATAAAATAAAATGAACTAAATTAGTTTTGAATGCACGGTATAATAATCCTCAACAAATCCAAGTTGATTCAAATAAATAAGAACTAGGCTGACTTGTTCTTAAAACTAACCCCATTTTCTTTGTTTACCTTTTTTTATTTCCCTGGTTAATGTATTTGTTAACAAAGCCTCTTTTTTCCATTTTGTCTTTACCAGGTTCATGTATATGAAATATCAAAACTGATGATAATCCACATTACCTAATGTTCCTGGGGGGCAGGGCATCTTGACCCCCGTGCCCTGCTTGGTTCTGGGCCAGGAGACGTCCATCATCACCAGGGGGTTGCAGTACTCCACCCTGATGTTGGGGAGCTTGGAGGAAGGTGGCTCCCTGCTGTGCTCCTCCTCAGGGAGCAGACCCCCCACCAGCGTGTGCACGGGGGCCGACGCTGTGGAGGTGGTGCGGGGCCACGGGACCAGCGCTGCGGGGGTGGTGGAGGAAGGCTTCTTGGCGGTGGTGGTCCTGGATGTGGTCCTGGTAGAGGTGGTCATTCGAGGGGAGGAGCTCGTCATCATGGTGGTGGTGTCCATGTAAACCACCACAGAAGAGGAGGATTCTGGGAAAATGAGGAACAAATGCAGAGTTGTCATTTTAAGGGAAGAGTTTAAACAATTGGAGCTGGCAGGCGTGACTTTGCATTGGCGTGCATGGTGTCGGGTTTGGACCCCACACACACACACACACACACACACACACACACACACACACACACACACACACACACACACACACACACACACACACACACACACACACACACAAATCATCACTGTGCTCCTGCAGCACTGATTGTAAAAATAGGTTCCACAAAATTAATTTCGCAACAGGTTTTTTATGATTGTGTGGAGTTGGTTACACCACACAGAGTCAGAGGTCCTTCTTCATCATATATCTTACAACGCAGAAAGCAGCCAAGGTTTTTATACTAAAGGATGTCCTGATTCTTTGCTTTTTAAGAGATGAAGCTCCGGTTTTTTCAAGGATGATGCACAGTGTTTCCACAACACATTTTGTATTTTAAGGATGGCGGCCATATTTTCTGCCAAGAGAATTATCAATGTTAATTTTGCATTTGGTTGTGTAACTAAAAGGACAGTAACTGATCTTAGACTCTTAAATCCTATGGCATATCCTTTGGCCGCTCCACCTTTCAATTTGCAGCAGCAGATAGCTGGAATGTCATTCACAAAACCTTTGAAAATGAAAACCTTTGTCTCCCCGCACCATCAATGTCACTATTGTAGACACCCTGGTACACACATGTAGCTGCTTTGCCTGATGCTGATTTTAATGACTGATTGAACCACAGCAATATTGTTTTAGAGTTTTTATATGTTTAACTGCTATGCCTGTCATCTTTGCTCTATGTGTTTGTGTTGTCTCCTGGGCTCTGTAGTGCCCGGAGTCTGTCTTTTTATTTTTTTTCCTCCCAAACCCCATCCCCTCAGGAAGCCTTTGCCTCCTGTCAGGTCATCATTGTAAATAAGAATTTGTTCTTAATTGATTTTCCTGGATAAATAAAGGTTCTACTACTACTACTACATATCTGTGACCTTTGTATATATTTGTATATATTAAATCATTATTTAGCTGAGACTTTTATCCAAAGCAACTTACAATAAATGCAATAATAAACCATAAATATACAAATTAAGAACATCAAAAAACATGCTAAAATATTAGCTTTAAATGCACTAAAACACAAGCACACAAACCATTTTTGGTTTAATGGCCAAGTTGCAGTGATATTGCATAACTATACTCTTTAGATATAGTATATCGTTCTATTGGTAATATGCCCATATTTTCTGTTTATGTTTATTAAAGGTGGGGTAGGTAAGTTTGAGAAACCGGCTCGAGATACACTTTTTGTTATATTCCATGGAATGCTCTTAACATCCCGATAGCAATGAATATCTTAAGTGCTTTGACAATAAATACATAAAGAAATGTCATCTGTGGAAGCCGTAGCACTGTAAAAAGCACAACCAGTCATTTTAGCTTCACAGCTAAAATAACTGGATGGCCTACCTGCCTGTCAGCCTTCCATCTGTGCACAAACTTATCTCGTGCCCTCATTGGTCATGTGCGCATTTGTGTGTGTTGGAGGAGGGCTCTGTAAGGAAGTGGCAGATTTTTTTCCGGCTGTGTATTTTCAAATTCTATCGCACTGGAGCTGGTTTCTCCAAAATTACCTACCCCACCTTTAATGTACAATGCTTTCTTCACATGCTGCTGTTACAAAACACATTCCCAATGTGATATCAATATTGTATATCTTATGTATTCTATCTTTATTCAGTAGCATCGCTCTGTTACTCATTTACCATTTGCATGCTGTTTTCACAAATATGTTTCAATCTTCATGATGTAAAATTCACAGGAACTCTTAAGAGTTATCAGCGTGTTGTTTAAGCGGTTTGATTAATAAAATACATCATATCCTTCCTGTAGCATCCATATGGTTTCAACAATAAGACTTCAAGCTCATGAACACAAACAATCTGAAGAACGACTCCCCAACTGCGAACACGAAATGTTGCCCCGGCAGTAACAAAGGTCTTTGTTCTCCCAGTGACTTTCTGGTTACAGTGTGTGGTTTAGAAGAATGGAGACCCTTTGAACAAGTCCTCATGAGAGAGCACTTTCTCACACAGACATAACCAGGGTCTTGCAGAAATACAATTTGGTGAAGGCGGGAGGGAGGTGGGGCTCCACTTAATGCAGAGATACAATCAAAATGACAGAAGTGACAAATGTTCCCAATCTCTGTATGAAAGGGGAGCAAAACAAAATGTAATGAGGGTCCATTCTGGGTTGGCAGGTGTAATGGACATCATAGAGATAACACACGTCACCGCTGAAATCCACAATTTTCTCCGTACGGTGGATCAGGGAGCAGTGGAATAAAACGGCATAAATTAGTGGCAGACGCCTCCAGGCTGTAATGACACACACCGGGACATATCAGCAGGCAATGCTTTCAGCTGAACAGCATTCAGAGACAGCAGTGCTGGTTAAAGGCGCTGCTGCAACAGTCTCAGGCTGATGGAGTATTTGTTTTCTTTAACTAAAGAGTGTGTTGTGTTTTAAAGATCCACAGGTATCTACAGCACTCCTGTGGAGGAACTCCATCAATAAGCTGGAACAAGAATAACAACCTCATTGAATTAAATGTGAGTTCAACGTTAGGAGCCTTATTTAATAGCAATTGACTGAAAAAATCTCTCACAGGCAGAAAAACAGCTAAATTGCATGTGGAAAACTTGGAGAATATGTAAGCTTGTGCATGAGTGTAAGTAGAGATGCAAGTGCATGATTAAGCTGCACAAAAGCGAAGTCACACGCTCACTTTGAGTACCTAACAAGACAAATTAAATAACAGGAAACAAATAAATATCTTGTTAGTCAAAGTCTGAATTTGAATCACTGATATTGTCTTTATTAAATGTCTTCCAAATGGTGTTGTATCTATATGATATTGTAGCTGCTGTGAGTTACGGTAAATGCAAATTAAATGAAAGTAAATACTTTTGCTGCTACATTTCCCAGGAATTGACCTTACATTTTAGGTGGAAAACTTAATAAATAAGCTTTTGCATGTGTGTGAGTGGATGCAAGTCTATGAATAAGCTGCAGAAAAGCACAATGACATGCTCACACATCATCCAACACAAACTGACACTATCACACATCAACAGGCATTTACAAAAATCACATGCGTGCTCAAATAGCTATTTAGCATTTCCTCCGCCTCAGACACATCACCATTTACATCCCATAACCGCCGTCAGACATCATCAACATGCAGCATCATGAAAACAGGAGGGAGAAATATCTTCGAGGACAGCATAATGTTTATTTCATTATTCATGGAAGAACTAATTCAGGCATCTGCATTAGAGAAGTCATGGAGATATGTTACACAAAGGTAGAGGCATCAATTTAAGTCTAATTGAAATCCTCCACTGGTGCATATCATGAAAGGAGACCATTAGAGGAGCTCATGGAAATCTGATGCTATGAGTTGAGCGTTCATATTGAGGTCAGGAAGGGTCAGCGTGCACAGGCGCAGATAAGCAAGCTGCTGAAAAGGTGTGCAGACGGACTGTTAGGATAAGGAGGTATTGTAGTGGTCAGGACTCTGCTGAGAGTTTGTTTAGCTGTGAGAAATGCAGACTTAAGGAAAAATACAAAATACAACTCCAGAGTTTATATTTAAAGCATTGCAGCATGCATTAGCTGAAGACATTTAAAATGAGACTGTGTGACATTTGAAAGATGAGATAGCACAATATTCCTGAAGATGAACGTTTGTTTTGAAAGATACATAATATGCTGTTTCTTCTCTTAAATGTTTCTCTGAGACAAATATCCATCTTACAATGAGATGAATTCAGTAGTTATCATATTGCCTTCTTCAACGCTGGGTTATATGACAGTAAAAGGAAATAAGGCTTAAAGAAATCTGCTTTCCAGCATGAGGGTAATTCAAAGTCAGAAGGAACCATGTCTGGAATTTAATTCCATACTTCCAGATGATCCCGTTGAGCCCACTGTTGAATTATTTTTCTGCACGCCGCATGTTAAATACGGCTGCAAAGACACGCACAAGAGATAGAGACCGGGAGTGGAAAGGAAGAAAGTGTCCTTGAGCAAACTTGTATATCTTTTCCATGAGATGAGCACAAAAAAAGGAAAAAGAAGCAGCAGCAGCGGCAGACAGCAGCCACGGTCTGCAGGCACTATCGCCTCGGAGACAACACAAGGACATTTTGTTTTGCTTTGCCAGTTCTGCAAAGGGAGGAAGAGACAGAAAAGCTCCGGCGAGGTGAACAAAACATCGCTTCACTCCGAGGGGAGTGACCTCACAGACAGTATTCAGTGTGGGGAGCATTTCTGGTTTCAGTTTGAAGATATCAACAACAAAACGGTTGGCCAGGGTGAAGACACATGACTAAATACTACCTCTTTGCAGTGGGTTTTGGATTATTAATCAATAAAATGGCCTCAAACATTAAGCTAATGTATCTTCTGTATGTTTAAGATTCAATGCATTCTCTAAATCACTACAAAGTAGATTGAAAACAAACTACTTGCCATCAGATATTCATGATTATTGAGCTAAGGGGCTTCAATGTCCCCACACTTAAACAGGGACCTCATCCTTCATAAAGACAGGAACAAATGTGCTCTCATTGAAGCACCAGCTCTACCTATCATTCACGTTTCTATTGCACTAAATCCCCTCACCAAAGCACGTGTCTGTTTCCCCCACACACCAAGCTTTGAGCTTCATTTCAAAGCATTAATTTCTTACTAATTAGCCCCTCTCTGTATCCCGGGGCTCGTGGCTTTCACAATTAGATAAGCCCGCTCCTCTTCGCTCCAGGTACAAAAAAGAAACTGCTCTGCTATGAAATGAAACCGGTTTACGTGACTTCCCGCACTGAGAGAGGGCTCTGGCTCTGAGGAACTTCTGCAGACTGCAGATCAAAAGAGGACCAAAGACCTCTGGGTAAAAACGAAACGAGCATCAGACGGTAAAGTGACTCC